ACAGTCAATTATATAATATAGTGAATGTTTAGAAAATAGTATTGGTTTTTGATAGACCTGATGGAGCTTCTGGAAAACATTAGCATAGATACATAGAGTATTAAGAAACATTTTTAAAAAGAGGCAATTATTAACTCTATGAATAATCCAACATTAGGACAAAAGAAACTGCATGATAGTATACCAGTGGCTCTGCAGGGAATAGTATCTTTGCAGCTATGCCAATGGAAAGACTATTAATTTCACTAAAAATTATGCAGTGATTATATAGTGAAGGGAGGGATAGAGTATAAAGAGCTAATTCCTCATTTACCTTAATAGAGGAGTCAGTAAATATTGCATAAAAATAAGTATATCTACAAATAGCAGAATAAGTATCTTAAAATAGAGAACAAAGAAGCATCGGAAGTGATTAAAAATTGTTATCTCTTGAGGGTGACAGGGGTCCACTGTTTTTTATAAACTCTTAGTATTTAGGGCTTTTTAAAAGTATTTGCAAATGTCCCTTTCCTAAAAGTAAAATTTAATTTTAAAAGGAACAATGGTACTTAAAATGTCAGGGAAATGGAATAATTATGGATTATAGTCAAATTTTTTACATTTTTGTCTCATTTTTTTTTTAGAGTTCCTGGAATAACTATAGCTACAGATATTATCTGTGGTTTTCCTGGAGAAACAGATCAAGATTTTCAAGAAACAGTGAAACTTGTTGAAGAGTACAAATTTCCAAGCCTCTTTATTAACCAGTTTTACCCAAGACCAGGAACTCCTGCTGCAAAAATGGAACAAGTTCCAGCTCAAGTGGTAAGATAGTTTTCTGTAAAGTATTATATTTAGCCAATAGCTATAAAAATGCATCTGTATTACTTACCTTAACACAGTTGGCTCGTAATACAACCCTTACGTATAAAAGATGTGGAGTTTTCCTAGTTGGGGTCGGGGTGGGGACCTTGGATAAGTTAAATGACCTTAGGCAACTAAAGTGTCACCTTTTTTTCTTTTGAAGAATGAGATTCAGATGACACAGGGAAAGAAATTTTAACTAAAACTAGTATTTGCCTATGTTTATAAAATAAATTCTTGGATGGTTCAAAATCAGGCAATATTTAAATATCTGTGAACAAAACAGGCATCATATTTATGTTGCTTTTAAGAGACCCTTTCATAATTTGTTACTGGTTTTCCTACATTTTCTATGGTATAGATTCGATGCTTACTATCTATCATCTATCTGTCTATCATCTATCTATCATCTATCTATCTCAGGTGTGTGTTGCTTTCTCAGTAAAACTCAATATAAATTTATTCTTACATGTCCATAGGTATAGTACAGTAAGATGACTTAAAATAAATGTGAAAACGTTTGAGATCCAGTAAAGGCTTTCCCAGAATGCCCCAAAAATTAATAGTTTCAAACAAATATTTAGTTTCTAGGTTCAGTAGCTAAAAATGGAAAAATGTAAATGAGCCTTAAGAGAAAGTAGAATTTTTTAACTGAAATTTTTCTACTTGGCTTCTAATAACTAAAAAATATTGTGCCCTGCCATTCATTTTCTTCCAGTGCTTTCATAAAAATATACTAAAAGGAATAGCCCAAAGCTTATTGTTGTTCTATAATGCCACATGTGGATAGCAAGCATATAACATATAGATTATTTCAAAACATGTTTTTGCACATATATATGTATATAGATATGTTTTTCCCCCAGTAAAACCGAAGTGAGTATCGTTCTTTGTTTTCCCAAAATTTTCTTCATTTTTATTTTACAAGTTTCTATGTATACAAGGATAAGGAAATATTTTATAGACAGACCATTTATTTCTAATTAGTCAATGAAAATCATATTATAGTACCATAGAAAATTACCTTTTCACAAACATAAAAAGAAGTCAATTTATTACTTTTATATTCAAATTATAATTTTTATTGGAGTACAGTTTACATACAGCTAAGTTCACTCTTTTTGGTGTACAGATCTTTGAATTTTGATAAATGTATATACACTAGCATAACTACCACTGGAAGCGAGACAGAGAACGCTTCCACCCCCACACACTCCCTTTTACTCTTTTGTAGTCATCTACTCCATCTCCAGCTTCTGGTAGCCCTTATAGTTCACTCCATTCTTATTAAACCTTTACTTCTTTAATTAAAAGGTGTTTTGAACTACAACTCGCCTGTCGGGTGGAGTAGAACATTACCAGTGCCCCAGAGGTTCCCAGGATGCCCTTTGCTTTCTCACCCTCTCCCAACAGAAATCACTAGAGCTTATTTTAACGCCATGCATAAGTTTGACCTGTTATTAAATTCGACATAAATTAAAGAATTCATCAGTGTTGAACGGCTTTTCTTTAACTTTATATTGGTGAGACTAGTATGTTTTTGTTAATAGCTGTAGTTCATTTTCATTGCTATATAGTGTTCCATTGCATATTAATCCCAATTTATTCATTCTAATGCCCATCATAATCTGAATCGCCAAGTGACTTGGGTATACATTAACATGTGAAATGCTGTTCTAGTTCACCAATCCTCTGTTCATCTGTTTTTAATCCTCTGTTCATCTGTTTTTAATCCGCTGTCAAGCCATCTATAATATTTGTAATTTTAGTTTATTTTTAATTTATATAATTATAATTTGATTCTTATTCATAGGTTCCAGATTTCTAGTGAAATCCTCATATTTTCTTTTGCATTTTTTGAACATATTACTCAGTTATCTTAAAGTCCATTCCAAATTCTCCAGTATCTGGATCTAACGTTGGTTTGTTTCTGTTGTTTTTTCTCGACTTTGACCAATTGTCTTCCCTTTCTATGGCACATGATTATTTTTAATAAATGATGACCATTGTTTATTTTTTTTAAAAACTGTGGGGCCCTGGCCGGTGTGGTTCAGTTGGTTGGAGCATTATCCTGTACACCAAAAGGTCGCGGGTTCAATTCCCGATCAGGGCACGTACCCAGGTTGCAGATTCCATCCCCAGTTGGGGTTGGGGCTCGTACAGGAGGCAACCAATCGATGTTTCTCTCTCTCTCTCTCCCCCTCTCCTTTCCTTTCTCTTTAAAAAACCAATTAAAACATCCTCAGGTGAGGATTAAAAATAAATAAATAAATACATAAATAAATAAATAATTTTAAAACTATAGGTTCTCGACTATAATCTTCCAGGAGGATTTAATTTTGCTTCTACCAGGCTCTAAAGTAAAGACTGACTATTTTAATTTGTCTGACATTGACTTCTGCAACTGTTTTTCAGTCTGCCTGAGGATTGGTTTATTTCTGGTTTGCCTTACTTTTTGAATGCAGCCTGTGGTGTGCTGGTGTTTAACAACTCACTCACAGTGGAAAACATTCTAAGTTGTAGCATTTGCCAATTTCCATACTGTAAATACTTCCACTGTGCTGGTTTCAAACTACCAGTGTGGCATCACTGGACATGGAACTGGGAAAAGATGTACACAGTCAGCTGATAAAAAGCTGGAGCCCACATACCACTGAGTGGAGCTCTTCTGTAGTGGTAACCAGGGCCTTTCTTTATAGTGGGTCTTCACTAATTTTTGTCTCCCTGGGCTCATAAGAATGCATAAGGCTCTGAGTGGTTTTTCAGCCTCTTAGTTTTTGCTTCAGCCTCTCAGCAACTGCTTATAAATTGATGAGTGCCTGGAAGGAAAAAGTGGCTCCAAGTATTGAGCTAATGGACTTCCCTTCTCTCCGGAATCTTGGTCCCTCAGGTCCTCACTGCCTTGGTAGCTTTTTGATGTTCAAACAGTACCTATTGTAAATTTTATTCACCTTTTCTTATTGTTCTTGGCAAGATATAGGTCCGATACAAGCTAGTTTGCCTTCGCCAGCAGCAGAACAGGACTCCTTGTCTCAAATCAGCTTCAGCTGCTTTGTTGTTGTTGGTCTTGCCTTTTATCTTGTAAACATAGCCCTTAGCATCTGCCTTACATGTTTAGACTTCAGACACCCAGTCCTTTTTTTCTCTTAGATTTAGATTTTAGAGCAGTGTTAGGTTGACAACAAAACTGAGTAGAAAGTACATAGAGTTCCCATATATTCCTTGCTCACACGCACGTGTTCAGCCTCCCCAGTATCATCCCACATCAGAGTGGTCCACTTGTTACATTATCACCCAAAGTCCATAATTTACATTATATTCCACTTTTGGTGCTGTACATTCTGTAGGTTTGGACAGATGTGTAATGACATGTACCCCCCATTGTAGTATCAAACAGAATAATCTCACTGCTCTAAAAATCCTGTGTGCTCCACCTGTTCATCCCTCCCTCTGCCATAACACCTGGAAACCACTTATATTTTTACTGTCTCTGCAGTCGTGCCTTTTCCAGAATATCATGTAGTTGGACTCACACTGTATGTATTCTTTCCAGATTGGCTTATTTCACTTAGTAACATGCATTTAAGGTACCTCTATGTCTTTACATGGCTTGACAGCTCATTTCATTGTAAAGCAACATAAATTTATTGTCTCACAGTTCTTGAGACTAGAAGTCCAGAGGCAGGCCCCTGCTCCCTCTGGACCATGTACAGGAACCCTTCCTTGCCTCTTCCTGACTGTGTGGTTTGCTGGTAATCTTTGTCTTTCACTTGCACCTGCATAATTCCAATCTCTGCCTTCATTGTCACATGGTGTCCCCGTGCTTCTCTGTCTTCACATGGCTGTCTTCTTGTAAGGACCCCAGTCATAGTAGATTAGGGACCTCCCCTACTCTTCATCTTAACTAACTACATCTGCAGTGACCCTGTTTCCAAATAAGGTCACATTCTGAGATGCGGGGCTTAAGACTTCAACATATTTCTTTTTGGGGAGATAAAACTCAATCCACAGTACTCTCTCATTTCTGTAATTATGCTCTACGTAAAAACTGTAGCCTGGAAGAATTTTATCTTTGTAATATCATGAACTTTAACTATAGTGAAACAAGCATTAATAATAAAACTTTAGAGAACTGCCATGAAGGAGGATGTGTGATATGCATTTATTCTTTTTTGTTCTCCTAAATTTATCTAAAATTAATAATTGTCTGCCTGTCTCAGGTAGTGTATGAAGCTGCATAGCAACTGGACTTCACTAAAATAAAACACTGCAGCAAAATGGATAGCAATTCTTTCTTATCTAATATATTCCCCATTTCCTTACCCCCAAAAAATCAGCAATGAAAGTAGAATCTAACCCTTTATCCCAGGGGTTTGGAACGTCCAGCCCTCTGGCCGAAATCATCTGGTCTGGCCCTGCCAAGGCAACCACAGGTAGGACTCGAGATTCAATAAATCTAGGAGCTTTTCTCATAGCTAATTTTTAAGTTAATAATTTTGTATGGCCCATGAATGATGTTATAAATAGCCAAATGGCCCTTGGCGGAAAAAAGGTTCCCCCTTCTTGCTTTATTGGAAGAGCACAATACCTGTTGCTTTTAAACAACAGCTTTTTTATTCTGGCTTTAGAATTCCTCTTAATGAAAATATATTGTTTCCTTAGATGTATTTTATTTCTACTAAAATCAAGCCCCCCCAAATGTTCTTTCCATTATGAATGACACAAAATAATTAATTTCAGTATACTTTTCCTCATTCTTTGTAACTACTTTTATGTGAATACTAGTATTAATAACATAAATTCCATTGTTTAATGTTTCATAGTAGAGCTCTGATAAATGAACTGAATTATGTGTTTTTCTTAGTGGCTTAAATCGCCAAATGGATAAAGCACCGTTCAGTTGAGTTTTGCATTTACATAGGTGGGAGGGGTAGATTTTTTTGCTAATCCTGCTCATAAAA